AGCTCATGTATGTTGTTATTAGGCAGAATAAAAACTTTCAAAATTCAGGAGGAAATATGTATTAATATCATCTAATAAAAATTTGTTAGTAGTTTCTAAAATCTAAACCATCAAAAAATTTTTGGAAACCTAAAGCAGAAATTAATGGTGAGACTGTTATAGATAGTTTGAAAGAATTTTGTAATAATGAGGATAAAAAAAACATTAGCAGAATAATCAATTACTTGACAATTAAAAATATTTATAAAGATTGAATAATTGATAGAAAAAGTAGCTTATTTTTTTTAATTAAGCTTTATTAATTGGAACACACCAAAAAAGATATTAAATTAGGTGAAAATTATTTATTAATGTACTTGATGTATGATAAGTATTACAATTAATCCATGATTCCAAAAAATTTCTTATTAACCAGTCAATAAGCAAATTGTAGATATGCTGCCTAGTGATATTATTACGGCTTAGTTAAATTTTTAAGTTTATTAAGCAATAGGTACTTGTGAAGATGTTAAGATTAGAGGAGTTTATAATTTAATAGTATCTTCATTCTTGATAAGTGTTTAGTTGAATTCAGATAGGATAGAATCATTTAGATATTGTATTTAAAAATAAGATGTTCGATAGATGTGAGGAATGTAACTCCAAACTAAAGATTTAATTAGGAAACTTGATCATAAAAGATTATAAACTCAGTAGTCATATAAATATTATAATCCTGATATTCAAGGCCAAGGATTATAGTTTGAATATATTCATTTAAATTATTCTTTATATGTGGTGAGAATTTAACTTTTTAATTAAATACAATTTAGATATTGAGAACGCCATCAGGATTAGATTTAAGCTCGATTAAAGAGAAATCTGGTCTTTTTTCAAATGAGCAAAGTGAGAATGTGTTTAAATAACTAATATATACCCAATCTTATTAAATAACACATTATGAATTACATCCATCTTCATTTTCATTATTTCAATCATCCCATTATTCAAACATTTAAAGATGATATACATCTCCACATTTTGATTAACAGAATAATCGAAAAAGATGCATTCCAATAGGACATTCTTTAATCACTCATAAATTTACATTCATAACATCCATCATTTGCAATGGAATTCATATAATCACATTATTCATTTCCAATAATAAGACCATCACCAAAATAAGGAGTACAATTATTATCTTTGATATATATCCTAATTAATTACATTCAACACATATTCCTTATTCACATAATGTACATAATTATTCATATTAAAATTCACATAAATAACAACCATCATATGGTATATCATTACCATCATCACATTATTCATTTAAATTAATAACGATACCATCTCCACATACAGTAACACAAATATTATTTTATTAAATTCCCAACCTCTAGTGTTACAAGCTTTACAATAACCACCTACACAATCATTACATTAATCTTAACATAAATATTTACATTCAAAACATCCATCTGAACGAATCCTATTTCCGTCATCACCTTCTTCATTACCTAAAACTAAATAATCTCCACATATAGGAAAACATTCATTAACAATTAGTTCCCAACCTTCATAACCACACTCTCTACATTTTCCAAATTCACACAAAGTACATTCATCCTAACATTTAAAAAAACAATTAGCACAACCATCATTCTCTTTATCATTACCATCATCACACTATTCATTACTTAATACTAATTGGTGACCACAAATTGGTTAACAATTCATATCAATCAAATTTAATTACCAGCCATCTTATATACATTCAAGACATTATCCATTAACACAAATAATACATTATTCTTAACACTAAAGTTTACAATTTGAACATTCATTTAATAATTATAAATTACCATTATCAAATTCTTCATTATGTGTAATAATACCATTTCCACAAACACTATCACAAATATTTTGTAATTTATTTAAAGAATATCCTAACTGACATTCAAAACATATACCATTTTCACAAATCTGACAAAATTAATTACGTTAGAATTTACATTCATAACAACCTTCATATAGAATGTTATTTTCATCATCAAAATATTCTTAATTTGTTAAATATCCATCTCCACAAAATGTTAGACATTAATTAGTAAGATTATCAAGTTAACTTGAAATTTTACTGCATTTTAAACATAAACCTTGATGACAATGTTCACAATATTCAGGACAATCATATTAGCCATAAAAACAACCATCCTAGGCTAATAAATTCATGACATTACATTGTTCGGTCCCCATTATTTACCCATCATTCAAAATCTCTTGACATTTACCATTTAAATTATAATATCAATTAATACATTAAATACATTTTCCAAACTCACATATGATATATGATATCTAACATTAATTTTATGATAGATAGCAACCATCAAACATTAAATAATTATTATCATCACATTGTTCATTTCCAACTATATATGAATCTCCTGATATAGGATAACATCTTTTATCTATGAATAAAACCCACCCTTTTTTACAACCCATACAATCACCAATTTAGCAGAATAAACAAGAATTTAAACACTTTTTTTACATGAAAACAATTTTCATCTATTAAATCATCACATTCTTCATAATTTAATACAATTATCCCATCTCCACATACAGTTTTACATTCCTTTTATTACTAATCTAATTGCCATACAATTGTATTAAATTCTAAAAATCCTTCTAAACTACATAAAGTACAAGATTATTAGCAATTTAATTAACTTATATAACATCCATCATATGATTGATTGTTTCCAACCAAATAAATATTATCTTATTGCATTATTACACATTATTATATTAAATATTCCAATTTATATCCTTGAATACAAACTAAACATAATCCTCTATAACATTATTGGCAATTCTAATCACAAACCAACTAACATTGATCGCAAAAAGAATCTATATTGTTACTATCACATTCTATATCTTAAAGAACTAGTATATTGTCTCACAAACACTTTTACATGATCTATCTTCTTATAAGTACAGAATAGTTAATAAAAATATACAACACTACCAACCATTTAATTTATTACATTTGTAACAA